AGGAACTATTGCTGCCAAGGGGACTGTCAAAAACTGTACATGACTTTGTGCATGGAATCTACTTCCTCTTCCCTAGAGATTTTGAAAAGCAATGAATAAATAAAGAATGGCTCTGAACAGCCAATGTAAGTGAAGAAAGAGGAAATGTCATGCCTTAGAAGCTTAATTTGTCAACAAAAATATTAAATAGAAAAGACTGTATATCACATCCCTCAGGAAATCCCTCTTTAATTTTTTTCCAATCTATAATATTGCAGATTAGGAAAAGAGCTTAAGATATTTGATCCCTTTTGCTGAGAAAACACTCCCGCGGCTGGGACTGACAACTTAGTACATTTTCCACCTGGTGTAAACACAAACTCTGCTAAACTATAATATCTAATCCTCAGATTCATTAGCTTTAAAATGAAGATAATATTTATCTCATAAGATTATTGAGGATAAAATGAAATAATTTAAGGAATTGTAAAAAGCGCTTAGTAAGTGATAACTATGTTACATTGGGGGCCCCCGTATTTGAACCCTGAGTCCAGGTGTTACGGGTTGAATTGCATAGCCCTTCCCCCAAATGTTAAAATCCTAACCTTTAGCACCTAAGAATGTGATCTTATTTAGATATACGGTCTTTGCTGACATAATCAAGTTGAGAAGAGGTCATGTAATGGACCCTTAAGCCCTGGACCACATGATCAGTGGGCTGGGCATAGTTCTGTAAACCCCAAGGTCACCAGTTCAATTCCTGGTCAGGGCACATGTCTGGTGTGCAGGCTGTGCTCTGCCCCCATTGGGGCACTTGCAGAAAACAGAAGGCAACCAATGTTTTTCTCCCTCTCTTTCTCCCTTCCTTCCCCTGTCTCTAAAGTAAAATAAAAATAAAATTTATAAAAAACTTTATAGAGTGGATCCTTACTCAAATATAACTAGTGTCCTTACATGAGGAGAAAACACAGAGTCACAGGGAGAATGCTATGTAAATATGGAGGCAGATATTGGAGAGGTGTACTTACCAGCTAAAGAATGCCAACAAATGCCAGCCATCGCCAGAAGCTAGGAGAGAAACATGAAACAGACTCCTCCCTAAAAATAAATCAACTTTGCCAACACTGGCATCTCTAAGCTCCAGAACTGTAAAAGAATAAAGCTCTGTTTGTGTAAGTCATGCAATTCGTGGTTCATTGTCACGGCAGCCTCAGGAAACTAACATACAACAATCTGAGTACAAGTGGTTTATTTTGAAGGAGAGTCCAGGAACCGCTGATGGCAGGATGGAGAAGTGAGACTGGGAGGAGGAGGACAGTAGCAGAGTGGGCTGATGAGGAGGTTACCTCTGCAGGTGGGGCTCAATCCTTCTGTGAGCCTCCAGGAGAAAATGTGGCATGTACCTCCGAGTAATCCTCCCTTTGAAGAGTGAGGACATTGGTATATTTATTAGTATGAATATTGGTGTATTGGTTTTCTGTGGCTACTGTAACAAATTGCCACATATGTGGTGGCTGAAAACAACAGATCTAGAAGCCAGAAATCCAAAATCTCTATCACTGGAATCAAGCTGTCAGCAGGGCCCTGTTTCCTCCCAAGGCTCTAGAGGAGAATCTGCCTTTCCCCGCTTTTGGTGGTTATTGGCATTTCTTGATTTCTGGCTAAATCATGACAGTCTCTGCTTCCTTCCGCCACTTTGCCTCCTCCTCTCCTGTCTGTGTGAAAGCTCCCTCCCTAGCTCTTATAAGGACACGTATGATCACATTTAGGGCTCCCTGGATAATCCAGGATAGTCTCCCCATCTTGAGATCCTTAATTACACTTTTGAGCACATAAGCTAATAGCCACAGGTTTTGAGGATTTGGACCTGATACCTTTGGAGGACACTTCTCAGTCTACCATACTTGGTATACTCATTCTTCTGCTTACATTTATCATTGGTTGAAGGTGAAAATTTCCTGGCACGCTGGTCTGCCCTGCAGGGGTCGAGATAAAGTCCTCAGGTTGAAAGTTGCAAGTTCTTGTAGAAAAATTTTGGGGGAACGTAAGGAATGGGAAGGCCTGAGAGGATGTTGATGGGACACCAATGACATTGCTATATGACTATTATTTTTGTTGTTAGTTTGGTTTTTTGTTAACAATTTTCATTTAACAATTAATCATAGTTATTGTCACTAGCTATTTTAATCTAACTTCCTGATGGGCCACAATATATATTATTTGCACTACCTGTGTGACTATGCTTAGAAAATACTTTCCCACCTATTTGAACTTGATCCTTTCTACAGGGTACATTTAAGTATATATTGCTCTGTCATTTCTTCTAAAACACCTTTTCTTTATCTTTTTTAGTACCTAGGCAATCTCTTTTATTAATTTCTATTTGGTCATGTATAACTTCTCAATTGTATATTTTTCTTAACTATATTTTAACAACATCAAATGTAGAGACCATGACATAAATATTTTCAATTACTTAATGCCATGGTTTTGGAGATTTACATTTATAATCTGGCACCATTTAGAAATTTTTCATCAGAAAATATAAAGCACCTACTTTGAGCCTATTATGCATTTTTAGTTTCTTCAAGGTCCCTTGTTATAACTTACATATAGTATCTTGTGGGACCGGGTCATCAGCAGTCTTATTGTAACATGTTCACTCAGTGACAGGTTCAAACCAGTTTGTTTATAGAAAATGAAGGAATTGTAATGTGTGAGTGGCCAAGCAACCCCTAGCTTGTTTCCAAAGATCTCTGGAGTATTGGGATTTTTAGCCATGAGTAAATGAATGAAATAGCGAATGTTGGAAGAGGCACAAGTGAAAAAAATAGTTTGGAGTTTGGTTTTAAACATGGTAATTTGAAGCTCTGTGGTCCAGGAGTCAGGTGGCTATAGGACTGAAGCTTGAAGACTCAGTTTGAGGGAGAGATATGAACTGGGGAATCTCTGCCATAGATGGATGGATGAGATCACGCCAGAAGAACAAGTAGAACAAGAAGAGAAGTAGCAAAAAGGGCCAGGAGTAGAACCCTAAGAGTCAACAAACACTGAAGAAGCCCAAGGAAGAAGGAATGGAAGTAGGAGAACCTGGGGAAGAGGCTGTTAGGGGAGCCATGGGAATCAGAGCTCTAATGTGAGAAAGGAGGAATGGAGTGGAGACCTAATGAGGTTAAAGGAAAAAAAAAAAAGGAAAAAGAAATGACATGATTCAGTGCATACTTAGAAAAAATTCACAACTTGGAGGTCCTTGATGACCCTAATGAGAACAGTTTCAGTGGAATGTTAGGAGCAGAGCCAGATAGGTTAACAGATCTCTTGAAAGGAAAGGGCGCACAGGAATCTCTGGGTACAGTCCTTGTGAAGCTAGTTCAGGGTCGCCCAGTGACCGCTTTCAGTCCAAGTGTCCAGGAAAGCTCTGGAAGATCCAAGAGGATCTAGAGCTCCAACTGAGTTTAGCAGTGGATTGAGTGAATGGGAAATGACACAAAGCTGAGACACTATTAAGATTAAGTCAGAAAACTTCCATTTTTAAGTTTGTGTTCAAATAACAGATTGCTCAAACTCAAGATGGAAGAGATTTTAGCTTAGCAACAATTGCTTAAAAATGATCCACAGATTTTAGTTGATTATAAACTTAAAATGGGCCAAGAGTATGACTTAATTCCCCAAAAAGCTAGGACAGGCTTGGATTGTCATAATAGAAAAGAGGAAGTGGAGACACGAGGAGAATTTTTGTTTTCTTTTTTTTTGGAAGGACCGCAGGGAAGGAGGAAAATGAAACAACAATCAAGAGGAGATAAGATTAAATTAGAAAAAAAATTTAAGGATGGAAGAGATTTGAGCATGTTTATAGGCCAAGGGGAAGGATCCATTAGGGAGGAATGAAGGGAACTGGTGATACAGGAGTCTGACGAAGCTGGAAATTGGTTTTGAACTGAAATACTGTAGCCTCACCCTTTGAGAGACTGGAGGGAAGTCTGAAAAAAGATGGGAGTAACCATGAATAAGTTGTTTTTTGGGAAGGAAATCAGACACTTGGGAAGACCACAGGCAAACGTTTTCAATTTGCTTGATGAAGTAATACTCCAGTGGGACCAGCTCTGCTGTTTGAGTGTGTTAGGAGAGAGCAATGGGGAACGTGGGGGAAGTTAGAAGGGATGGAAAGAATTCCAGAGAGAATGGGATTCTGGCTTTTTGAAGTGGAATCCAGAAATTGGGGTTTCTTCTCACTCGCTTTAAGACCAACACCCACAGGAAGTACAGAATCTTTGGAGCTTGCTGGCTTTTCCCACTTGGCTCAGGACGGCCAGGCCAGGCTGTGTCAGCCATGTGTTCAAGCATCATAGGCTTTTATTTTTCTTTTAAATAACCTTAAGTGGAATTCTTCAACTTATTCATTAAAAAAATCTTTTAGAGTCAATCATTTTGAAAAACATGTTTTTATTCTTGCAATGCATAAATTTACCTGTTAAAATTTTGGCAGAATTACTAAGCAGGCAGTATAATTTACACAAAGGCAATATAGTTGCAAAGTGCAGATGAATCTGATATAACTCTTTATCAGGCAATGGTTATTAAGGCAAAAAATGTTTCAAAATAAAATATCAACAATCACAAACTTTCGAGCGCCACAAGATCCTGAGAAATTCGGCATTTCCAAGGGTCAGGCGAGGGGTGGGCATTACACAAAAGGAATAAGCTTTTCTAGGTCCTCAAGACTTAACGGGAGGAAACTGAGTACAAAAATGAGTATCTGTAACACCTATGAGATAAGCTCCGTGAGAGGAACCCGATTTCCCAAACGCTTTCAAGGAAATCCGGAAAGAGTCAAGGGTGCTGAGACCTTGTAAAATATCCGCCCCGGGCCACCAGCCTTTGGCTCACGCTCTTCTGGGCTCTGTGTGCCCATGCGCGCGCACGCCAGGACGACTGTCACGAAGAGAGGGCGCGTCCCCGAGCCTGTCGACGGAAGTCCCGCCTCCTCTTCCGGCGACGGAGAATGGGGAGGGGCTAGCGGCAGTTTCCGGTTTGCAGTGTTGAGACGGTAACACGTGGGTCTTCTCTTCGGGATTCCTGGATTATTCCTACCCGTGGTGAATTTGTCCCGTCGGAGCTTCTTTCAGATTTAAGGATGAAGGCGGTAAGGGTCTTCAGAATCCTAGTCCCCGCGGCTTAAGACCAATTTGGCTGACAGTCACTGCCTGGTTTTTCGCCCTTGTTCGGGGGGCGGTGGCCTAGATTCGGGGTTCCCTCTTGGTCCCATGCGCTGTCCGCTTCCTAGCCTTTACAGCCGACTCTTCCTTCATTGCACACTGTGCTCGTGCTCGACTTTAGGAGCCAGGATGAGACGAGCACCGAGTCTTGCGTCTCTAGGATGTCAGACATTGAAGGGTTCTTCAAGGTAGTCTTTCTAACCCCTTATTTTACTGACGAGAAACAGGGTCCTGCTCTCAGTTAATTTATAGTGTGAGTCATGGGATTTGAAACAAGTCCTTTTTCTTCCCCTAAACGGAAGGAGATAGAAAAGCAAGTGGTTTGCTCCGGTTCTCGCGGAAAACTAGAGCTAGCCCTAGGATTTGTATTTTTGAATAAAGGGTCACTAGCAAGAGAGTTGGAATCCAAAGACCCGAATTAAATGTTGCCTGCCTTAGTTTAAGGGTCTTTGAAAAGTCATGTAATCTATAAACCTTAGCTTCATCAGTAATGTGAGGATAACGGCAATCGTTGCTTAATTAGGCTATTGGATGTAATATGCTGGAGGACTTTGTAAATGGTGAAACAATATATAAATGTCAACTATAGTTAAAGACAGCAGCATTTTGCTCTAAGTATACTAAACTAGTTAAGATAGCTTTGAATAGCCACTTAGCACTAAATCAGTGCTTCTTAACTTTTATTGGGGGGGGGGGGTCTTAGACCCTCTATCATAGCTGTGGATTTTGGTCATGAATAAGATCCCTGGTTGAGTAACTGGTGCTCTGGTGCCATTTTGTGGATTGATGCCATAGTTTGGTTTTAGCCTTTGTGTGCAAGATCCCTGGCTGTGAGACATTAGAATTGTGGAATGTGTCTAGTGAAATTTATAATCAATTCTCTTTAATCTGATTTTAAACAGAAAGTAATATAAATTTCTGGATATGCAGCATTCCTCCTGTTGTTGTTTTCCAGAGAAGAAATAAAAAACAGATCCCAAGCTTTAGGAAATTGATTAAGACTAGTAAAGTCAAACTTGAAAACAAACTAAAAAATAAGCAATATAAACAACAAAGCAATATCAGGAAGTGCCGAAAAGAACAGAGGAAACTAAGGCAAGCTGTAAAAGATGCTGTGTCTAAGAAACCCGTTCCCCTGGAGGACCCAAAGAAAAAACGACCAGGTAATTGTGCAAAGCATTCATGTGCTCTAATTTCCATTGATTTGTTTTAAAATGTTCTTCATGAAATAACTGCATTCTACTAATCACTATTCTTAGTCACAGATCTTCTTAAGAGTTGGTAAGGATAGTAGTCCTCTATGCTTTATCAGTCAGTATAAGAAAACATTTCAATACAGTATTCATTGTGAGAAAGAGCTGGCCTCAGCTTTTAGTATGTTTAGAAAGATCTGAAGATACAGTACTTGGGATAACGGACTCAGAACTGTGCTGTAAATAAATGTCAGGCAGCGTGCTGTGCCACTTTCCATTCGTCGGTAGTTAGCTAGGGTGCGAACATTGCTTTTCTCTGATGTGTTCTTCACAGTGTTGCCAAAATTCATTTAGTATTGTAAATGTCTCGCTTTCTTTATATTTGGAAAGTTGGACTAAAATTGAGCTGTAATTGTCATGGTTACTCTTCTGTAAAAAACTGTCCAAGAACTCCCAAGTATTCAAAACAGGTAGGGATTATGACCATTTTGAGTCAGACCAGTTCTTCTACAATGTTACTGATACTTTATATTTGACTGCATCTGACTATTCAGTCTTCCAATGTGCATCTCATTCTCTTAATCTTGACCTATTTAGTTTGATCCCTTGACAACATATTATTGTGATATGTGAAAGGTCATGGGCTGGGAAGTCCGGAAACTTGGCCTGTTCTCTTTATTTTGAGAGTTAATAGCAATGTGGCTTTAGTGGGTCACTTAATCTCCAGGTATTTAATCTATAAAAAAAATATGATAGTTGAGTTAAATAAAGATCTCTTCCATCTAAACTTTAATAGAATTTAAAAAGCATGATGTGTTAATAATTATGTATTAAAAATAAGCAAAAGATTTCTTCCTTCTTACACATTGGAGTCAGTCAGTTGGATATAAGAGTATAAGTTTCAAAAATAATTTAACAAACAAAATAGAAACAGAAGCATAGATACATAGAACAGACTGACAGCTGTCAGAGGGGAGGGGAGTAAAATGTTGAGGGATTAAGTAAAAAAAAAATATATGTCACATAGACACATACAACAGTATGGTGACAGCCAGAGGTCGGGGAGATGGAAGAGGTCAAAGGAGGGGTAGGTAAATGGTGTCAGAAAGAGACTTGACTTTGGGTGATGGGTGATGATGCAGTATGCAGATGATGTGCTATTGAGTTATACACTTAAAACCTGTATGATTTTGTTAAGCAATGTTACCCAACAGAATCCAGTTAAAAAAAAAAAAAGACATGAGTTTCAAGTGAAAGACCTGGGTTAGAGAGAATAGTTTGGGGAATTATCAACATATAGATTATAGTTAAAGCCTTAGACTTGGGTAAAATCACTATGGAGACTGTGCAGTATGCGAATGACAGACCTAGAATAGAATTTTAAGGAACCCAGCACTTAAGAAATGGGTAGAGGAAGAAAAACCTATAGTGGGGTTTGAGGAGGAGCCAGAGAATTAGGAAGAAAACCAGAATTGCACAGTGTCTTAGAAATCAAAGAGGAGTATTTCAAGAAAGAAGGAAACTCTTTATGTTCTAACATTAAATAGTCTGCAAAATAAATTGTTAATTAAAAAAAAACCAAGGTGTGTATTCAAGCTTTTACCCATTTGAAATTATCTGCTGTCGCCATGTATCTGATGTGAACACATTGGTAGATAGAAAAAGTAGAGTGGCAAAAGATCTCCACGTTTGGTCAGAGAAGTGCAGTGGCAGTAACTGAGTGAGAGCTGCAAGGACAGAAGGTTGTGGTCCGAGAGCGGGGTGGGCACCCAGGTTTGGGATGTGGCTTTGGAGCGGGTGGCTGAAGTGGAATGGAAGTGAAGGCTACTGGCTATCAGACAGAACTGAGGGACTAAGTAATTGGTTCTTAAATGCACTGAAAAACGTTGTAGCAAGTGTGGAGACATTTATTTTTTGATTGTTACAGTGACCTGGGAGTGATCCTGGCATTTAGGTTTCAAGGGGTCAGAGATGCTAGCACTTGGCCTAACTCAGGACACCCCAATATAACAAAGAATTGTCCAGCTCAGCATGTGAGCTGTGCTCCCATGTGGAAACACTGGCCTAAGTTGCTAGAAAAGCTTAAGTTTTTCCTGCATGCAGAGTTCTACATCCTTTATTACTTATTTCTGATTTATTTTTATTTTTATTTTTGTGGAACAGGTAAAAGGGTTGAGAGGGAAGAGGAGGAAGAAGAGGAAGCCCTTCCTTTAGATATGATGGATGAAGATGACTTACAGTTAATGAGGGATTTAGGACAAAGAGCATCTTTTCTAACGAGAGATCTTTCTTCTAGGTAATACTTCATTTAGGTTGTAATCATTCATAGCCTTTCAGGGTTAAAAACTTGGTTTTGAATTTTATGTAGGTGATTAGTGCAAAACTTCAGCTCTGAACACAGTGTTTATAAAGAGTAAATCCTATTTATTATTCAGTTTATTTCCTAAATAGAGGAAGTTCATGAATAAAACAAGCTGATTTTATTTAGCGTACATCTTTATTTCATTTGAGTCTGAATAGTGAAGTAGAGTGAATGGGGAAGAATGCTGTTCTTTGTCTGAGGAGCTGGCAGAACAGTCCTGAGTTCGTTACGGCCATGGTCTCAGTCCTCGTTACCTATTGGGTAGGTATTATTCCCATTTACAGAGAGGAAACTGATGCTTCCGCACAATCATAAGTAGTAGATCTGAAATTTACACTTAGATCTTTTTAACTCCTAAGCCCATGCCAGGCCCCGCAGGTTTTTGGGAAGGCAGGATGACATGGTGCCTCCCTCGGCTCTGGCGTGGTCTTCAAGAAGACTCTGCTGCAGCTTTCACCTTAATTTTGCATCTAAAGGGAAAACTAGATATAGCCATAGTTTGAGTCCTTGTGGTAGCATGACGCAATTAATTTACTCATTTATTCTATATTTGAGTTGCGCTCTGTGCCGGGTTTAGGTACTAATATCTATATACCCGTTGAAGTTTTGGCTAGTGGTATATTTTTCATGTTTTTAAAAAAGATAGGTCTCTGAGTTCCTTTTCAGTATGTAAACACTGAAAATTTTTTTTTTCCTACAGTGAGCCTGTTCATGTCAAAAAACGAAAGCATGAGCACGTTATAGATAAATATGAAAAAGTACCAAGATCTCTGCAAACTGCACCAGAGAAGGAGTTGATTCACTTGCTTCCTATCAAAGATAAAAGTGGTATAATCCCACAGACCAGAGAAAAGCCAGGTAAATCTCGTCAGCCTGTGTGTCACAGTTCTAGCTCCTTAATACTACCGCATATTTTTTTCATTAAAAAATCTAATTTTATTTTGACTTTTACCCATATCTACAAAATAGAGGAGCTACCGTTAGATAACAAGCTTGATGATTTTGACCAGAAATACAGTTGCTTATTTTAGGTGTCTGGTGTACTGCGAGTACAACGGAAGCTACAAGGTTAAGGTGATTTTTCCTTTCAGAATATTTCACCAAATTTTATTGTTTCTAAAATTAGAGCACGTTAGTCATCCTTTATTAGCCTTTTTTTCTTATATGTATCTTTTCTTTAAATGAAATACAACACACAGAAAAGTACAGAAGTCAAAGATGTGAAGTTATGTAGTTTATCACAAAAAACACCCATAAAGCTACCAACTGGGCAAGAAACAAATACCGCCAGCACCAGAAACTTCCCTCGTGCACCCCTCAACCACTAATTGTTCCGTCCTCGCAAGAGTGACTACTTTCCTGAGTTTTATGTTAATCACTTCTGTGCTTTTCTGTGTAGTTTTACCACTTAAGTATATCATCACATTTTTAATGTACATATTTCCTGTAGTTACTGACACTAACCAGGATGAAGAGGATCAAAACGAGATGGAACCTGAGGAAGGTAATGGGATACATCTTTACAGTTACTAAATTGTTAATCGATAATTACTTTCTTTTTGGGTTAAGATAAATGAGTTCATTTTAGATAAAAGCTGGAATGTGCATTTTGGAGTACTGGACATTTCAAGGTCATTTTGAACATCCCACATTTTGAAAGTTTTACCTTGTAGAATTTGGTTATTGTTTTTTATTATGGAAAAATTTATGCAGTTAATATTTGTAATGTGTAGCCATGCATGAAGAGTCTTGTTAACTGCACGTGGTTTTTGAATTCTTTTTAGTTGTAAGTAAGTACCTGCCTATAAATAACTCTTAATGGTTTAGCTTTAAATTACAAAAATAGTCGTGGTATGAAATAATTTTGGTTCTTTAGAGTAGTTATACTTTGTGTATATCTGTTTTAAATGTGGGTTTCGAATGGCCAGCATAGTTCTAATCAAAGTTCAATTTAAAGAGCATAGTTTATTGTTTGAAACTATATTGGTTTGGAATTCGTGACAGGACAAACTGGTTAAATTTTACTTCTGCTTTGCAAACCTCATTAAGAGTGTAAATGAGATTACAAGTAAACTATTTTACTGTTTTCAGTCATCCTTCAGAGGCTTGTTGCAGATTATACCTGTGTGTTTATTAAATCTAGTTTCCTATGAATTTCTTTTTCTAAATTGTTAATCTATTACAGTTGTCCTGATTTTTTTCCCCCTTTGCCCTCCTCTGCCCACCCCACCCCCCTGAAATTCTTAATGTGAACACATTTTATGTAGTTTAAAGGACTGTATAGAGTTGAAAACAAAGAATATACTGTACTTTTTAAAACAAAGTCAGATTGCCCTTCCCCTTATGGTAGTACCTGCCTCATATGATTGTTGAGAGAATGATATGAAATAAGGTTTTTGGATACTTGTAAATAAAGGAATGTTTAAGAGGGAAAAACCTAATGTTTCAGAGATTATTGAAGATCCTGTTCCAGAGCTGACTATAGAAGAACATGTAATTGAGAGAAAGAAGAAATTGCAGGAAAAGAAACTGCATATTGCTGCCTTGGCGTCTGCCATATTATCAGATCCAGAAAGTAATGTAAGTAGTAGTAATTTCTTTAGGTTCCTCATATTAGATATGGTCTAAATATCTAATATTTTAAGATTCTCTTGTTACCTATAAGTACACACTAAAGGAAAAGCATTAGCAAAACACAGTAACTGAGTTAGAATAAGAGAGTAGACAGAACCTTAGCCTAATTCTGTGCCTGATCTTAATTTCTTCTGTAATCTTAGAAAAGTCTTTTAAGTGCTCTGAGCCTCTAAATGTAGGTATTGGACCTAATGTTGTAACTCATAGTGCTGGAGAGGAGGAACCTACTTGCAGATTTGCTTAGCCAACTGTAGAGTTTTTAATTAGGAGCGTGCACATGAAAGATTATTTTCAGAATACTCGTAAGTGTAAAATATTTTAAGATAAATCAGAAAGTTATAATGAATTATCAGTGGATCATGGGTACACTAGTGAAGGTGGTGACAGTTATAACATGTCAAGCCAAGAAACCCAAGGTTTAGTCTTGGCTCTGCTGTGTACTGTCTGTTAGGCTTTGGGTGAGGTTTGTACCCAAAAGAGAGAGGGAGAGAGAGAGAGAGACTGAGACTGAGAGAGAGAGAGAGAGAGAGAGAGAGTGTGTGTGTGTGTGTGTGTGTGTGTGTGTGATTTTTAGAGAGTGGGGACAGGAAGGAGAAAGGGAGAGAAACATTAGTGTGAGAGAGAAACCTCGATTGGTTGTCCTCAGTACACACCCTGACCAGGGACCTCACCAGGAGTCAACTGACAAGCTTCCGGTCTGTGGGACGGCACTCAATTAACTGAGCCACACTGGCCACAGCAAGACTCATTTTCTTCATCTCTAAAATGAGAATGGAACCTATATTAAAACTTTGTTGTGAGGATTAAATTACATAATATACATGAAATTATATAACGTGATAGTATTATTTTTGTTGTATCGGTGCCCCCAGTATCCTACTATGACAAATAATTGTTTATTGAACAATAAAATAGATAATTTATATTTATAGAAAAAATTTCATGTGGGTATGTTTCAGACTAGTACTTGTCTTCTAACAAACTGGGAAGATCTGGAACAGAATCAGGGAGGGGAATTTGGAATATTTCTCATCTGTTATATCTCATTTGATCATTGCGAAACCATAGAGACAAGAGCCATTGATCTCATTGCACCGCAGAAAAATAGAGCCTTTAAAAACTCAAGTGATTTGTTCCGGATTTTAACAGCCACTGGGCTGGAACCCAGATCTTCTAACTTTGGAGCCTCGTGCTCATTTATGAAAGTTAGGGAGAGCGAGTAGGAGGTGACATACTTGTCCTGCTCCTGGCTGTGGCAAACATTGCTAGTCGGTCAGCCAGGGCGTTGCTTCTCAAGGTGCCGCTCCAGCGGGCAGCAAGAGCTCGTCAGAGCTGGCGCGTTTGTTGAAACCAGTTTTTCACTTTTGCATTACACCATATCGTGTAGGTGATTGTTGTGTGAGTAACTTTGAAGCTTATGTTAACCTGGATACATTATATTAATTCCTGATTCACTTGTATATATGTGATTATGTAATATCTGATATACGATGGGGGGTTGTATGTGTGTATAAAAATTTCAAGAATTGTTTTTAGGGAAGTAGGTCACATGTCCCTCTAAGAAAACCCAATTAAAAATAGGCAAATTAACAAATTAACTATTATTTAAGTTCATATTTTTTAACTACTTGTTTAACAAAAACATGATTAATTTATAACTTTAGTAGTGATTTATCTATAGGTAATGGGAGCAGTGTCTGGAGTTGTGTTTGGCTTGACTAGACTCTGAGTCATTGTGTGAATTGTGCTTACTTTGCCCGATCCAGATGTGAGACTGTTGCTTTTGCTTACAACTATTTTGCCATTATTTCTCTAGCCTTATAAGTTAATTTATATTACAGGTTAAAAAATTGAAAGAATTACGTTCAATGCTGATGGAACAGGATCCTGATGTGGCTGTTACTGTTCGAAAGCTGGTGGTAGTTTCTCTGATGGAGTTATTTAAAGACATTACCCCTTCCTATAAAATCCGTCCCCTAACAGAAGCAGAAAAATCTACCAGGGTATGTTAAATATAACTACTCTACAAAATAAGCTGAAAATTTTGGAGAGTGAGAGATGGGAGAAACAAGATTTGGTTTCTTCTTAGTTTTTTTAAATTGATTTTTTAGAGAGGGAAAGAGAGAACCATTGATTTGTTGTTCCACTTATTTGTGCATTTAGTGGTTGCTTCTTATATGTGCCCTGACTGGGGATTGTACCCACAACCTTGGTGTGTGGGGATGCTACTAACCACCTGAGCCACCTGGCCAGGGGAAGGTGTTTTATATGTATTTTTTGGTTGTTTTTACATGACTGGGTATATAATAGGCACTCAACATTTCGTGCTAATTTCCAGATTTCAATATTTTGACGTTAAAATGTGATCGATCTTTTGGTCTTTTTCAGGTCCGCAAAGAAACCCAAAAGTTAAGAGAATTTGAAGAAGGCCTTGTTAGCCAATACAAATTTTATTTGGAAAATTTGGAGCAAATGGTCAAAGGTATATTAAGATCTTAAAGACATGTAACGTATTCAGCTTTGGTGAGGAGGGTGAAGCCTGTATTCTGAGCTGTGTGCTGACTGTCCGTGTGGCGTACGGCCAGGAGCGGAGTCTAGAGTCAAGCCCTCTGGGTTCAGCTCTTGGCTCATTACTTACCCCGTGTGATGGGCAAATCATTGCGTCTCTCTGGGCCTTGGCTTTTCTAGCTATAACGTGGGAGTAGTAATAGTACTTAACCTCATAGAATTGTGTGAAAGTAAACTTTCAGATATAAAGCACTTACAATTAATTATGCCTCGCTTGTATCAAGGACTATATTTTATCAGTTATTAGTATTAGTGTTGTTACAGTTCTTTACCTAGCGAGTAGTTGTATGTGTCTTTAAGTTCATGAATAGTTGGAATCCTACTTTAAAAAAAAAAAAATTATGTTGGAGAGGGAGTAAATAGGGGAAAAGGATAACTTGTAATGAGTTCTTTGAAAATTTTTATGAGTCAATTATTCGCAATAATAAACTCTTCTATCGAACCCTTGTTCTCAGAACAGGAAGGACATAGGAAAAATTTGCGCATGGCAGGGGAAGGGATGCGGCTGCCTAGGCCAGGCGCGCCCACTGCCTCGGTTGGGCTCCCTTCCTCAGGGCCTGAGGGTCACCCAGCTGCCACCTCAGCTGGAACGGGACTGCCGAATCCCGCGGGCCCGATAAGGGTGTGAAGGTGGTGCAGTGTAGTGGGGGTGCGTGGGATGGATATTGTTCCTAAGCTCTGACATCCCAGCTGGAACCTGCTTATTAGCATTTTATTCTCTCAATGATAAGGCTCGGAAGCATCGTGTAGCCCAGCACTAGCAATAGAAATGTAACTTGGTAACGTGAGACATAGAAGTCATTAAAAGTGAAGTAGGCACACTTTAAAAAGTAAAGAGCAATACAATTAATTTTAGTAGTAAATTACATATGTCTAAATTATCATTTTAACATGTAATCCATTTTAAAAACTAATGAGATGTATTACATTTTTTTGGTACTAAGTTCAAAATCTGGTGTGTATCTTACACTCCTGGCACGTCCCAGCTGGGGGTAGTAGCCACATTTCCCGCGCTCATTGCCATGTGTGGCCCGTGGCCTCTGTATTGGCCCATGCAGGTGTGCGCCGTCCTAAGCGGATTGAACCATATGGCTTTTTTGTAGGTTAGAAATTATGGAAAAATATATATAATATAACATTTACATCATTTTAACTATTTTTAAGTGTACGATTCTGTGGCATTAAGTAAATTCACCAGCATCCATCTCCAGAACTGTTCCATCTGCCCCAATTGAAATTTCATAATCATTAAACATTAACCCCCTATTCCCCCCCGCCCCCGCCATTTACCCCCTCCCCCCCAAGCCCAGCGCTTGGCCGCCACCATTCTGTTTTCTGTCTCTATGAATTTGACTCTCTGGGAACCTCATGTCAGGGGAACCATACAATATTTGTCCTTTTGTGACTTGCCTATTTTACTTAGCATGAGGTTATCAAGATATATTCTTACAGCATGTGTCAAAATTTTCATTCTTCTTAAGGTCAAATAATATTCCATTGTATGTAATCACATTTTGTTTATCCATTTCTTTCTCCATTATTAAGTCTTTTCGGGTTTAAGTAAATAGAACATATGATTCTCCCTTATGGTGAACATAGTGTGTTTAGGGAAAAATTACATATATGAGAAGCAAATTTAAAATAAAGTTACTGTCATCCATATTATCTTTACTCTGGCTGTATATGATCTGGAGGGAAACATTGAAGCTGTTGTAGAGAGACTAACATATTTTCATATTCTCATATTCAAGATGCTGTGTTACAGGACCATATATGTATGCAAAAATTTATAGAAAATAGGTACTGTGCATCATAAATTGTTTTGAAGGATATTTTGACTCTCTTTTGGACCTCCTGGGTAAAGATATTACACTGAGTTTCAGCAAGAATTCAGAAGGAATGATATTTTAGAGTCTTTGGATTTTTAATTTATTTTATTCATTGGTGGCTCTGGTATGTGCCCTGACCATGGATCAAACTCACAACCTTGATATACCTCAGGACGACGCTCTAACTAATGGACCTCGCTGGCCAGGACCAGATTTTTGGGATTTTTAGAATATGAAAAAGACTGAGGTTCAGAGAGTTTGGAACTTGTTCATATTCACCAGCCAATTAGTGGATGACTAGGATTTGAACCCAGGCCTCTTGACTTAAAATCAAGTGTTTTGGGAAGAGCCTTGGTAGAGCCCAGTGCGAGGACTCCTTTAAGGACTCCAGCTCCCTGTCCCCTCCTTTCTTTTTAACCCCCTGGGGACCCTTTTCGTTGAATGATATGTGTTTTAAAAAACACAGCCAATATTCTGGTAATTGTGGTTACAGTCAGAAGGCAGATTACGTAGAAACATTTTAATGATAACCTTTGTACTTGTGTAAGTGTAGACAACTCATTTAAGAATTTGCATCGTATATTGAGTTTTTTTATATTATCACGTATTACTGTAAAAGAAAGATAATAGTTGAAGCTTTGACCAATGAGGAAACTCAGTAACTAACTATAGTTGTCTTTTGACTAGACTGGAAGCAAAGGAAACTGAAGAAAAGTAATGTAGTTTCCTTAAAGGCATACAAAGGACTGGCAGAAGTGGCGGTGAAGAGTCTGTGTGAGCTCTTGGTGGCACTACCTCATTTCAACTTTCACAACAATATCATCGTACTGATCGTCCCTCTCATGAATGATGTGTCAAAATCGGTGGGTTACCCTAAATGATTTGTTGCCATTTGTGCTTAAAATTATAGACTATGTGATTTTTTTTTCTCAAAATCCTTTTGGAGCTCTTATTTATTACTAAAATAGGATCACTTTGCTAAATACTGTTTCTTTAAGAAAGCTCTTGGAACTTAAGTTTACTGCAGTGGTTTTGAACAGGAGGTGGTTTGCCTTCCCGGGAATGTTACTCAGGACCGCGGTGGTAGGGGCATGGGAACTGCCATGTAGTGGGTAAAGGCCGGGCTTCGAAATGTCCTATGAGGCACAGGACAACCCCCACAGTAAAGAATTCTCTGGCCCCAAATGTCAGTAGTGCTGAGGTGGAGAAACACTGGTTTAGTGTAACATTTTATTTTTCAGATATCTGAAATGTGCTGTGAGGCAGTAAAGAAACTTTTTAAACAAGATAAATTAGGCCAAGCATCCCTTGGAGTAATTAAAGTGATTTCTGGTTTTGTGAAGGGCAGAAATTACGATGTTAGGCCAGAGGTAAGCCTTTTGTTTCTTAATTTTTTTGTATTCGTTTTAAAATCACAAACTTAATTTTCAGTTGTCAATTTATTCATTACAGAAGTGTGCAAAGTAGAAAGGGAAAGTACTCAGTTCCCCAAATGTAACCCTTCAATTTGGTCATATAATTTTGATTGCTCACCTTAAATTTTCTGTTTTAGTTCCTAATTTCAGTCTTTCTTTGCAATTAGATACTTTTCATTAAAGCTGATAATTTTAGTTGAACTGCTAATTTTAGCAGTTCAACTAAAATTATCAATATTGTGCCTAAGAGAAAATACTTAGTATCTTTATACAGGATTGTAGAGAGATCAGATAATAAGGCTTGAGCAGGAAACTTGTTTATAGGGAAACACTTCCCTTTTAGTGATGTTAGAATTATAAACTGCATTCTTTAATTTGTTGGGTTTTTTGGGTCTATATTTAGGTTATACACTGATTTTTTAAGGTGTACAAATGTGATAATTTAATATACGTATACATTGTGAAATGATTACTGCAATCAAGTTAACGCATTGATTACCTCTCAAAGCTACCTTTTTTTTTTGTGGTGAGAATATATAAGATCTATTCTCATAGCAAATTATTAACTGTAATCACCATGCTGTACTTTAGATCTGTGGAACTTATGTATGTTGTAACTGAAAGTTTCTAGCATTTGAGCAACATTTTCCCATTTTCCCCATTCCCTGGCAACCACCACCCTGGTTCTGTGTGTTCGGCTTTTTTAGATTACACGTGAAAGTGAGGAGATCACACAGTAGTCGTCTTTCTTATTTGTCTGCTTATTTCACTATACCACGTTTTCTTTATTGATTTGTTAATCTGCGGACACTGGCTGTTTCCGTGTCTTGGCTGTTGTGACTAATGCTGCAGTGAACGTGGGAGCGCAGACATCTCTTTGAGATACCGATTTCAGCCCCTTTGGGTGTGCCCTGACGTGGGGTTGCTGGATTATAGGATTACTGTGTTTTTAATATTTTGAGGAATGTCCACACTGTATTTCAGAGTGGCTGTACCAGTTTACATTCCACCAGCTGTATACAAAGCTTCCCTTTCTTCACACTCCCACTAACACATGTTGTCTTGTCTTTTTGATAGTGGCCATTCTAACAGGTGTGAGGTGATTCCTCATTGTGGTTCTGATTTGCGTTTCCCTGATGATCAGTGCTGCTGAGCACCTTTTCATAAATACTTGTATGTCTTTTTTTTTTTTTTTTTGAAAAAAGATCTATTTAGATTCTATGACCATTTTTTAGTTGGGTAATTTGTTTTTTGCCATTGAGTTGTATGAGCTCCTTATGTATTTTGGTTACTAAAACCCTTATCTGACATGGTTTGCAAAATATTTTTTCCCCTTTCCATAGTTGTCCTTTCACATTGATGGTCTGCTGTGCAGAAGTTTTAGTTTGATGGGGCCCCACGTGTTTATTTGTGCTTTTGCTGCCTGTGCTTTCAGCATCATTGCTGCAAACCACTTTGCCAAGACCAATGCCAAGGAGCTTTTTCCCTATTATTTTCTAGTAGTTTTATGGTTTTGGGCCTTACATTTGAGTTTTTAATCCATTTTGAGTTCGTTTTTGTGAGTGGTTTAAGATAAAGTTCCAGTTTTATTTTTCTGCATGTGGAAATTCATTTTTTGCCCAGTACCATTTATTGAAGAGTCTACCCTTGCCCACTGTGTACCTTGGCGCCCTTGCCAAAGATTAGTTGACCATATACCACGTTCTTTAATTTGGAATTATTTTTCATCTGTGAGTAATATTTAATGCGCACATAGAATACATGATACTCAGTTTGATCTTTCTGATACCTAGAGTGACTTTAGGTTCACTATTTATGCCTTTAGTTTTTCCCTGTTTCCATTTGTGCTTTAAGCCCCATAATCTGAAATACTCAGTTTTCTTTCAGATTTTCTTACTGGAATAATATTAAGCTGTACTTCTTGAGTATTTTTTTCAGGAATGCTTCTATGACTGCAGCAGGTCAGTAGAGTGATTTCTTCCCAAGAAAATGTAGGATTTTTAAACCTTTTTTGTCTATGTGTTTGGATGGTTGCCAATTTTCAAATTAGCTTCTGAATTTTTTGAATGGTTTAAGGCAATAGTTTTCGTTTCGGTCCCTGAACCAGCATCAGTGGGTATGAAAAATATGCCCTGAGCCCCTACTCCAGACGTACCAAATCAGTGATTCAGCCAGGGCCCAGCTATTGGTGTTTTATCAAACCTTCCAAGTATGCTGATGTTTGCTAAAGTTGGAGACTTGTTGACTTGAGGAAAATAAGTTGTCTTAATTAATTTAATTAACACAAATCTTCATGTCATTTTTTTGGAGGCAGGGGAGATGCATATTAGAATCGTTTTCTGTAAAACTGAAGGTGGTTTGGTAAATTAAATTGGTTTAGAAATACTTAATTTATATCTCCTCCTCTAATATTGGTTCACACCTTTTTCTGGCCTGTTTGCTCTTCATAATTAGTATCTACCAAAGCCAAGTAATGTTTTCTTGCTTCCTGTTTGTCATTTGATTGCAAAATAATGTTACATGTATTTAGCCAAATACTAGCTACAAATTACCAGATGTCTAGCAAAAAGATAATAGATCTTTGTGTAAAATGTGATAAAAGATATTTCAAGGTTTTTGGTTTTTTGGGGGTTTTTTTGCATGAAGGAAGGAAATAACATTTTTAAATGCTTATTTTTCTGTATAAAGTTTTTGAGGGCAATATAAATATTAAGCTGTGTATTTGTGTTTTCTTCCATATTAGATGTTAAAAACATTCTTGTGCCTAAGAATCAAAGAAGTAGAAGTGAAAAAAGATACAGAGGACATTAATAAACCAAAAAAGTTCATGACTTTCAAGGAAAAGAGAAAAAGTCTGTCAAGAATGCAGAGAAAGGTTTGACTGACTTCCTTTTTTGTTTCGATTTTAGATTAAAATCATTGTGTAGAAACAGATGAAAATCGTTAAATAGTAATTATAAATATTTAAAAATCCAATATTTAGAGAATTTAATTTTCACACTTATTACAAAGAAATATTTTATTAAATCAACTTAAACTGAAAATTCATTGGATAAAAAATATATACTTGCTAGGCTGGCTTTTAAGATCATCTTAGATTCTTTGTGACACGCAAGATTTTTTCCTTAACAGAAAGAATGTATTCATGTGAAGTAGCAACACAGTGGGTTTTTGTTAATTGAATCGTGTTTCCTTATTGGTTTATTTTTATTTTTTATTTAATTTTATTCTCTATTGGTTTATATTTGAAACCTTTTATTTATTTACTGGGAGACTCTGGGCACATTTAAAAAAAATATTTTGAGAAATGGGGCTCTTCCTGGCACCCACCTTCCAGAGTCGTTGCGCATTTAAGTAAGATGATGTACGTGAAGCCCCGGCAGAGTGCGTGGCACTGGCGTGCCTCATGAACATCAGTCACCGCCACCGCTGTCGCGATTGTCATTTCTCAGAACATTTCTGAACAGTGTGTTAGGGTTATGAAATTGCTTATAAAAACAAAATAAATCCCAGGATATCCATTTTTGAATGTGTGTAATAATTTTAAAAACATGACGTAAGTATCACATTAGACTTAGTAACAAATGAAGGCAAATACTCACTTTCATTGTTTCTGGCACACTGTCCTAATGTAAGGGGGTACGTAGCTGTGGCGGGGAAACCAAGGCCGATGAGAACACGGCAGCTCTTTAACAGCCTCGCAGGAGGGAAGGAGGCTTTCCCAGTGAGCGCCCTGTGTGCGTCTCAGGCGGCTTAGCCACCAGCGTGCTGCTGCTCTTAGAGCCTAAAGAGATGGAAACGAATTGATACTTTGTTGAATTTCTATATAGAATCTGGCTTTATGCATTGTATGTAAGTGGGAAATTTTGGTGATGACTGGCTTCCATTATAGATGATTTGACAGTAAGAATTACTTCTGGGCTCAGTATGGTTTTTCTCTTTTTTTGAAAAATTTTAACTTAAATAATAGAAAACTGCAGAAAATAGTATAGCACTTCTTATGTAGCCACCTTTCTGAATGAGCAGATATTAATAGACTGCTCTCAGTCGTCGTCTTGAAAAGAACAAGCATTGGTGTTGGAGTTGGAATCCCCTTTGGTCTCCCCACCTCATTCTCATGCCTTCCATCCGGGGGGCCACCACTGTCTTTGCGGAGACTTCTTTTCCGTTTTTCTACTTTTGCTTATATTTGTATTCATAGGCAATCTGGTATTTTGTTTTATGTGTTTCATAATATTTACATATTACAGCTTGCTGTTTTCACTCAGTGGAATATACTCTTTATTTTTCAATCTATTTTCAGTGGAAAAAAGCAGAAGAGAAACTAGAGCGAGAGCTTCGGGAGGCAGAAGCCACAGAAAGCACTGAGAAAAAGCTGAAATTGGTAGGCAGTGGCACGTTCCCTTATGCCCGCGGTAATAGCCGCCCAGTATGAATGAATCACAGTCATACCTGTATTTTTTGTCAGAGCAGCAAAAATAAAATTATTTCTCGGTGTGCTGCAGAATTTTAGTAATTAGTTTATGTGTATCATAAAAAAGGATTTAAAAGGTTGAAAATTGCTGTCCTGTACTTTTTAAATGTTTTGTTAAATAATTTTAACTAGGGATTTGTTGTTTCAATTTACGGTTATATAATTTTGGTTTATGTCATGAGGCTTAGATATAAGATGTACAAGAAATTAAAATATGATCAGTGCTAGTTTTGTGAAATCACTGAATGTGTATCTTTATTCTATTCAAGTTTCATTTTCTTAAAGCTCCTAAGACTGAATTGTTGGGAGGGATAGGAAGGGACAAAAAAAGGTTGAGCTTTGAAAGTGACAGTTACGGTAATTCAGGAGAAAGTGCGGTGGGTTCTACTAAAGTCACGCTGTCTGTTTCTTCGTCCAGCACACGGAGACTTTGAATGTTGTGTTCGTAACATACTTCAGAATATTGAAGAAAGCCCAGAGGTCACCGCTCCTGCCAGCAGTTCTGGAAGGTCTTGCCAAGTAAGGGCTGTGTAGGTTGAAACCTTTTAGATCCTTTCTAAATAAGACCAGCAGAACCATGAATTTTAAACAGGGTTAATAATGACGACCCAGTGTCCTCATTTCCCTCCCTCTCTCCTTTCCTCTGTCACCAGCCTTTCCTTGCTTTGCTCTGTTTTTATTTCGCTAGTCCCTTTGGCTGCACTGCAAGCATTTTCACGTACTTGGGTTCATATAATTGCCAGCTCAAAGGGTATGCATTTTAAATTTTGATAAATATTGCCAGATTGCTCCCCAAAAAGATTTTACCAAGAGACTGGGAACGTATGACTTCTGAGGCCCTTTTTTGTTCTAAGATTTACATAGTGTCAGAGGCCCTTACACTAATATTTACGAGATATCCTTTACTCAGTGCCTAATATTTTACAGTGTACAGAGCGCTCTGACATTTCGTAGCCCACATGATTCTTTCTCTTTAACTCTATTGGGTGATTTCAGCCATTTCTAGAGATGGAGGCCCAGGCCAGTCAAGTGACTTACCGAGGATCGTAAAGGTAGTTCCCTGCAGAACCTGAACTGGACACCAGGTCCAGCTTCTTTTCCCTTTTATTTTCAAAGCTTTCATAGTGTCCATAGTCTTACACGAAGTAGACTCTTTCCTCCTTCCTTCTCCCTGCCACCCATTTTCTTAGAAGCTGATGCTGCTTGTTCTCTTGTGGCCTCGAACTGTGCTGGGCACCTGGTGAACTTGCCTCTGGAAACAGTTTGCCCTCAGCAGCTTCCTTCTTGGGGCAGCGGTGCTTTTGAAATGCTGCCTGAGTTGGTGTAGTGCTTCAGGTGTTTCTGCTGAGTATAGTCCAACTGGATTGTCAGAGAGGCCAATCTGAATTAATGAGAAGTAACATCATCTCTACAGTCTCTATCATAGCTAGGAATAAGGAGGATTAAAAATACAATGTGAAAGTCAAGTTTAATTTTTGGCTGCTTTATTTCTGTTTTTAGGTTACCTTTTAACCAAGTTTTGTTTGATTTTAGGTTTGCTCACCTTATAAATGTGGAGTTTTTTGATGATTTATTAGTAGTTCTACATAACCTCATTGAGTCTGGTGTAAGTAACTCTATTAATGAATTATTTTTTAAGATATACATGGTATTATTATTATTTTTATATATATGTTTTTGTTTTTTTTTTTTTGAAAGAACCTAAGCTATCAAGAAAGTCTTCATTGTGTCCAAACGGCTTTTCATATTCTTTCTGGGCAAGGTAAGATACCCTCTTAATCAAGTTTTGTTTGCTTTGTCTTTGGAGGCTGTAACATACCTCATTGTGTTTGTCATTTCAAAGGTGATGTTCTGAATATTGATCCAATGAAATTCTATACACATCTTTACAAAACACTGTTCAAGCTACATGCAGGTATGTATGTGTAGATAACGTGTCTTTAATATGTATTTCTTTTAAGAATATGTTGTGACCCGAATGAGAGTCTATGAAAAGTGAGAAATAGGAACTAGTATATAAAGTGCTGGCCTGCCAGTTTTGCACATCTGTGTTTACCCTCAAGTAAGACGGGGAGAGCGAGGAGTTTTGGAATTGGCTGGAACTACAGTGCAACCCACCACATCCCTTGAGCAGCCTAGCCCTGCCTCGTGGGTTCGGGTGGTGATTTGGGACAGGCAGGACAGTTGATCTTGGATTTTTCCAGAATTAGGTGAAATTGCAGCATGGAAAAGTAATGACAGGTGTATCTGCCATTTTAGGCGCTACCAATGGAGGGGTTGAGATTGTGCTCCAGTGCCTCGATGTCATGCTGACCAAACGCAGAAAGCAGGTTTCTCAGCAACGAGCTCTTGCCTTCATCAAGCGCCTCTGCACCCTTGCTCTTCATGTTCTTCCGGATTCAAGCATTGGCATTTTAGCCACTAACAGAATACTAATGCACGTAAGCAGTGACAGGAATGGAGAGAGCGACGCCCTGGCAGTGCAACAGCGGTGTTTTGTTTCATGTCTTTCCCCCCCACATACATCATTACTTAATTATGAAAATAATTCACACTAGTGACAAAATCAGGCACTAAAGGAAGTGTGTAAAATTACAAAAGGACATCATTCTGCCCCATTGACACTCTCTGGAGGTAACCATTTTTGCCATTTGGGGGTATCCTTCCCGCTGACTTTTTAAACTTCATATATAAACACATAACACCGAGCACACACAATCAGCATAGCTTTTACTTTTTAATGTCAAAGGGATTGTGGAGATTATGATACACATGTCATCCTACAATTTTTTTTAACACAATGGTGATGAACACATTTGCTAGGTTCTTTTTGCTATTTCAAATAATGCTATAGTGAATATCCTTACATGTTCCTAGATAATTATTTCTGCAGGGAAGATTCCTAAAAGTGGGATTGCTGGGTGAAAAGGATGTTCTATTTTCTCTTACAAGATAAAATCTTTTCAGAGCACACCAAGAAAGTAATCTTTTGCAGTTTTTGTTCTCTTGTAAAATGAGCTTAAATTTACAGAATTAAAACTACATATGATGTTCATATGCTCATAGTTCTTATATAACCATAAAATCAAATTAAATTTAAGTATAAATAAAAGTACAGGACCCAATAGCCTTCTTTAAACTAATAATATTGATTTAATTAATCCTTACGTGATATTTTTGCAGACTTTCCCCAAAACAGATCTGTTGCTTGACAGTGACTCTCAGGGTAACGGGGTTTTCCTTCCCGAGCTGGACGAACCCGAGTACTGTAACGCTCAGAACACCGCCCTGTGGGAGCTGCACGCGCTACGGGTACGAGTGCCCCCACCCTCTTATTTTGTGAGCAGTTTGTTCAGCTTTTCCCCAGGCCGTTGTTATTGCCAGAGTACCTAATGTGCCTTGTTCTGGGACCACTTTTCCTAAAATCCATGTTTTAGTAGTCTGCGTTTCACTTTGCAATTACTACTCTTTAAGATGTTGAGGTACGATTACTAAGGAAGCTGAGTGACAATTTCATGGGGTAAGATTCATTGAAATCTTTCCCTTCCCGGGCACATTGGTATTGGATCCTATCCAAGGAGACTTCGGTAGGCGCACAAGGTTCGACAGGGCCTCACCTATGTCCTGATTCTACAGCGTGGACAGTGTCAGAGTGAGACACAGCGAAAATGTTTCAGGAAGCCTGTTGTCAACTTTGTGACTCTGAAAGAGTTGTTTTTTGATTTTTCTGTTCATGCTGTAAAAGCAAGACTGAGCTACGCCACTGGTAACTTGCTTATCAAACAAATTTGTGTTATAGTCCTGTGAGCAAAGATAATCTTTTTCCTGTAGTTAAGTGGTTTTTATGAATTACATATACATCTATAGTATTCTAAAAATATTAGTGTTTATTAAATAAAATCTTCACTGTAGTGTTTTATAAAATACTGACCTGTGCAAAACGTGGTTGTCCTGTTTCCCCTTCAGCGGCACTTCCACCCCGTTGTGCGGAGGTTCGCAGCTCACCTCATCGCCGGGGCCCCTCTGGAAGGCTCTGAAGCACTCAAACCAGAGTTGAGCCGAAGGTGGTACTTAACATTGCTTTATTATTATAAGACTATAAATTTCAGTTGATAGCTCTTGACTGTGAGAAGTCTGTTTTATAATGTAATAGGTTTTAAAATGTAAAGTGCTAAATTGGTTACTTGGATTTGGTCTCACTTCATATTCCCCAATTGTTCCAAAGAGAAGACATGGCTGCCTGATTTTATTAGTTTGTTTTGAGAAATCACAACATTTTTTTTTTGTCGTAAAAATTGTTAGACATACAGATAAGTAGAATAGTGAATTCTCATGCCCATGACTCAGGTTCAGCGGTGAATAATATACCATATGCGCTTATGTAAAGATCTATGAGTCTTAACTACAGTGAGCCTCTTTTTTTTCTCTTGGGTGGTCCTGCAAGGACCAGAAAGGGAGAAATGAGGAGAAGGAAGAAGCATTTTGTCACACTGCTGTCCAGAGGGGTGGCCGTTCTCTCCTTGGCCTCCTGACCTGCAGGAAGCTTGGATCGCTACCCCGGCATTCACCTTATACTCCTCTTCCAGATGGGGAAGAGGGTCCTAAGAAGTTTCTTTCCCCTCACCTTTAAAAAAAAAGAACTCAAATGTTTAAAAAAATATTTATTGATTTTAGAGAGAGGGGAAAGGGTGTGTGGGTGGAGGGGAGGAGAAGGGGCATCAATTTGTTGTTCCACTTAATCATGTATTCATTGGCCGATTCTTGTTTATGCCCTGACCGGGAATTGAGTCCACAACCTTTATATATTAGACCAATACTCTAACCAACTGAGCTACCCAGTCAGGCACCCTGCCCCCCCGCACCTTTTTATTCTGAAAAATTTTAAAAGCACGGAGGAGTTGAAAAAATAGTAATTACCTACCTGCCCCCCCCCAATCAGTTAGAAAATAATTCAGTTATACAGAAGAGAAGAGAAAATAGTCTTTTAAAAGACACCCTTGTAATAGAGCTATCACTCAGAATTAATATTTGGCTGTAGATTTTTCTCCTTTGCAAACGAACTGGTATTTTGAATTCAGAGATCACTGGCAAACGGCCTGTAGGTGAGCAGGTTGATGGTCTGGCCTCTTGAGAGTTGAATAGAAAATGAATTAGTTGTTATATTTTAAATATTGGAAGAATTCACCCAAAAGTCCAGGTTCTCTTGAAATACTGGGATATTTGGCAAAATAGGTCTGTATTTTTTTTTAAAAATGGCAGTAGTTAGGTACCTGCTTACCCCTTGAAATGAGGCATAAACTTTATAGTTTTCCATAAACCTTTTCCTTCTGGAGACAGAGATACCTTTCGTCCATAAAATAATAACATGGCCATTTACTTTTTTCTTGCCCTCATTTTTCCCACCTGTCTCCCAGCCTTGTTTTTAAAAGGGAAATAAAGGAGAAAACAATTTTTTGCCACCTTTCTTTTCACAATCCTTTCCTGGCAAGTTTTCCTTAGTGACCTTGAACATTTACCCCATTTATGCCAGAGGTGGCCTTTTCCAGAGGAAGAGGAGGAACCGGTCTATCCCAGAGGCTTGAGAAAGGAGACTCATGGTGTCTTCCCCTGGGGAGTGGGGCTGGAGTGTGACTGCAGTCACAGTCCTTGCAGGCCCCTGCCTGTCGATCCCCTTCGGAGTGTCAACCAACCTCAGATCATTTACATGTCCCGGTTGTAGACATTTGTTCTGCCTATAGGATGGTTCTCCTTGCTTTTAATCCAGGCCCAAACTGAAGAGTTGAGCTGTTTGAAATCTGTGGAGGATAACTCCATGCTGCACTCCTCTGGCTCCCATGACCAGGTTAAATGTAGTTGCAGGTTGTTTACGTAACTGTGGTTGGTTGAGCTGGGGTTTGGTAACTTGGAACTTGAGCTCTTCTCCTCAGCCTTCTGTCTGTTCAGGCCTGTGTTTCTAAATGTACACCAGGCCTCTGTGAGGTGGGTTTAGTTGGATAATGTTGTCAATTCATAGGGATTTAGGATTTATTTTATGGATGGTGACTTGGCAGGATTGTATCTTAATTATGGGTTTAGAATAATGAGTCCTTTTCTGGGTACAATTAATTATTTTCAAGTTATTATGCCTTTTTGTGACTCTAGATTTCTCTTGTGACTGTAGATCTGCTGTGGAACTTTTTGAGGCTTATAGCATGGCAGCAATGACATTCAATCCTCCTGTTGAAACTTCAAGCCCCAAAAAGAAGGTATGTCAATTTTCACTGTTTTTTTAAAAGATAAAATTACAACTAAATTAATACATTTTTTAATAACTGATCCCAATTTGCCTAATTCGTAGATAGAATTTTTTTTCAAGTTTAGGAGTGATGGCGGGATGGATCTCTGGGGTTGGAATTCCGTAGACAGAGGCAGCTATGAGGCAGTGTCATTCGGGGAAGGGTCTGTCCAAGACCTGACCCAGCACCTCATGCTTCACATGTTAGTTCGCTGTTAGTTGTTACTATTTTCAGCTTTGCTCACAGCTTGGCTTTTGCTGATAGCATAAGAACTTTTAACTCATACTTTTAATACTTTTTTCAGGATAAAGTTTTGCAAGGGGATTCATTTTTGAATGAAGATTTAAATCAACTAACCAAAAGACTTTGCAGTGAAGTTGCTACTCATTTGCCTCTGGATCTCACCAAATATTTGAAACCGTCACTGCGGTAGTGGAAGGAGGAAGAGTCAGTGGACTTTGCTGTACATTCGTGTATTTGTGCAGGTGCACATAAAGATAATGGTTCACTTAGGACCTTCTCTTTTGTACAAGGGAAACTTCCTGAGAAAATTAACAGAGGAGGAATTTTCCTTTGCATGGTACAGGATTCTGCCCTAATTCTGAAAATGTCCTTTCATTTGGAAAGGAGAATCAAAAGCCTTTTCCTCCCCTTATATTTGGAAACTTCTTTCTTAGTGATGTTGCCTTTTTAAAATTTAATATACATATTAACTACTTTGGCCTCTGAAAAAATATATGAATGTTCATTATGGCTGCTTTCAAAGAAAGTTTCTCTGTGATTCTAGTCTCTTCAAAGTTCTTCGCATTTTCTGCCATGCTGTGGAGGGTGATGAGGGAATTCCTCCGGTGTGGAGAAAACCCAGCCCCAGGTCTTACCATTCTGTTTTAAGGATAGAGGGTACCCACTGAAGGGCTTTTCTTCCCCCCTTCTGTAAAATGCCATATTCTTACAATTATAAAGTAATATTTTATGTAACATCTGTTGCCATATTCTAAGAATGGCTTATGAAATAAGTGTTTTAATGACCACGTTATAAAAATTTCTCCTGTGAATAGTTGAATAAAACAGCTGTTTTTTTCTGCCTCCCATTTTTGTTAATGTGAGAATTGAAAACAGCACAGCAGTCCAACTAAATAGCCCTGTTACTCGCTCAGAGCTATAGAAGTCAGTAATTTTGGCCTAGAGCTTAAAGTTTTTTTTTTTTGTCTTGAAGTAAATGAAAATAGAAAGTTCCTTTGTTGTTCTAGCAATGTGAGGAATACCAGCTTTAACTGTGCAAATAATCTCTTTAGCAGATTCTTACATGTGATTTTAAAAAGTATTTTTAATACCAGTATTTTTAGGCTTGATTATTTAATGATGAGAAATGTATGCTTCAGCATAGAAATACTTGCTTTTAACCCATCTTTTAGATATAAAACAAAGTTCCAAAATATTATGAATGGTTTGGATGACCAAGTCTTTCCTTCTCAGAGCACAAGTCACCAATACATGCCACAAGTCATTTATTTTCCAAACATATACAAATACATATATATTTCACTTTGGCAGTAGAAACTGTAGTTTATGTGAAAAATAAATTTTAAAATAGAATTCATTAACCAGTTCACACTTGTATTACGCTTTTAACCTTCTTGTTACATATATAGAGAATCACAGTGGGACCATAAAATTACATATCTAGTTTTTGAACATCCTCTGTGAATTTGAGTATTAACTTTTATAACCTTGTTTTAATGAGTTTCATTTTCAGAACTGAGTAATGGTAGTCATTGATAACAACAGAGACACACAAACACACACAGACATGCCCTGAGGCTCTACTAAGCTACGGCCTTTTTTTTAAAAAACTAGACAAATATTGAGCACCTACTATGTGCTTAGCACTGTGCTAGGCACTTAAAAGTGAAGTGGGGTAATAATGGGGGAAAGACATACAGCCTCAGTGTTCCATGGGCTTGAAAGCTGAGTCAAGTCATTCGCTCACACTAAAAGAAATACATTACCTAATTCAGTGTCAGAGTGAGTTGTTTAGAAGTTTGGAGACCTGTGTCATCTCAAATAGAGGAGGTTTCAGAGGCCTGCTTGATGGCAGGCGTGAGCATAGTATGGTTTGGATCTAAGATGTATGTGAATAGTTTGATAATCATGGAGATTCGGCAAGTATTTGAAAAACATTCATTTCAGGCATTCCTCTACCAGAACACTTAGCTGCCGGTCAAGGATTGCTCTTAGGAAGTTGATACATGGAGGTGGCAGAGAACACACTTAACAAGCACTGTGTCTTGGAAATGTGACCCAAGTATGGGCTGTGTGTGAGAATCAATCTCCCTTGTCTAATAACTGAAAGGGTCCAGGGCTCACCTCTTCCTGCTTCACTGCTGATGTGACGACAGCAGTTGCGGGGACCCTGAGGCAGCCATCTAGGCAGCACGTCCCCTTCAGGCTGCCTGTGACACTGCCAAGTGTAAGGTCAGACACCAGCCAGGAAGACCCATCCTCCTCTATGGGCCTGGGAGCCGAGCTGTGGAGCTTTGTGTTTTAGAGCTAATCCAAATTTACCTGACCAATATGCAAGCTTGGATTCCTTTTCAGAATTAAGCAAGGCCTGTGGGAGTCTCAGCACTGGAGGAGAGGTTAGCAGAGACACTGGAAAGGCAGAGAAAAGGGCAAGGGGAAGACGGATGTGTTGGAGGCCCACTTTCATTAATGAGTTGCCAGAGTCTTCAGAGCTGTTGAGATGGGAGACCTTTGTACGAGAGCAAATTTGATTAGCAAGGCACCTGTAACCCACTCTGCTAAGTTTAGGCCCCATATTTACCCCCAGAAGGAGAAATTATAGTAACTTTAACTTACTAAGGATGGCATGAAAAGATGTTCCTTCAAGGGGACACTTCCTGCCCAAATAGTGTTACTTCCTACAGATTGATCAGAACTTGACTCCCAATTCCTTACCACGCTTGTATAATTTTACATTTTGCAAAATGACCAATTTCAGGTGACCAGGTGACTGAGGAAGTTAATCCCTTTCAGCATCACAGGGCACAGGGGATTTCTCCTTGAATCCTTTCTTGCCAGCTATGGATCTTAAAAGTTGGCACCACCTAACAGTGACTGAACTCACGCTTTTTTCTTTGTTTTTAGTGAAGCCACTTAAAATATTTCTCCCTCAATCTTGTAATAAGCCCAGGTTGCATATTTAGAATCTTTTCCACATCAACTTCACTGGTAAAAGTTTGCTACCCAGATTTTTAGTAGTCTGAAAAGTATGAAGTGGTAATGGTTAGAGATGCATTCTAAACAACAGGGGTCATTTCATTTGGTGTACTAATATAGCTGTTTAATTCAGATAAGCCATAAATAAAAATCATGTTTTTGGCACACACCAGATTTCCTTCTGCTGATTAGTTTTAGTAGTTAGACCTTTTACATTTTTGCGCAATATGTTCTTCCTTAAATCCCAAAGAGTCAAATACAACTGAGTACGTACTTTGACCTCCAAATGGAATGAGTGACAGTTGAGCTGCAACACAGGCCATAGGCTGGGTTCACTCACTTGCGAAAACCTTGTCTCACATTCAGTCTCATGGTGTGTTTCAGGTTTGGTGCCACAGCCAAATCAGCTATGGAAAAAGGCTGTGGGGTGGGGTGGGGTGGAGCTTCAAAAGAGTCAAGGCCAAATGATAAACCTGGGAAGACCAGTTTTGCTTTTCCTTTTATTACTCTGCAGTTTTTGTTCAACTATAGCCAGTTAGGCCAGGAACACAGTTTTCAGTACATGGTAAGCCAAACCAGAGGGGGAAATGCCTATTAATTTATAGAGGTTTGAAAAGTATTTCTGGAATATATTTTAAAAATATGGACAGCATTGTGCATTTCTTACAGGCTGATGATTTGGTTTAAAAAGAAACCTGTAATTCTCTACGAACAACAGCAAACTGGAATAGCCTAAATTCTGCTGACAAGCAAGTGGAGGTTCTTCCAGCACAAAGGCTTCGAGTCAGTTAAAACTTACAATAACATGAAAGCTGTGTGGTATATTTTTAACACTTCTGTTTTTAGAATATGTGAAGGATTTGGGATTGTTTTATTCTTTTCTATAATAGGTAAAAAAAAAAAAAAAATCCCACAACTTCTCCAAACAAATTTAGGATTTTTAGTGTGTTTAATAATTTGAAGAAGAAATGTTAATTTTAGTATCAATAGATAAAATTTGGATTTTACTTTAGAGGAACACACATTTCATTTTAAAAGTTGTAATTTGCTTCATATTCAGAATAAGAACACTTTTCATGTACATGAGTTTTACACAGTAAGGTTTTAAAAATAATTTACCTTAAGTGGCAAGTATGATTTGGATCAATAGCTCTTAAGTTAATCAGAAATGAAAATGAAGCTTTTAAACATGAAATTCTGGTCCATTTCAGATATTCAGAGCATACATTTTCTTTTTAGATTTGTCTTCAAATTGTGAGAATCACTAATGCTTCTAATCTATAAGCAATATCAAGAAAGCTATGTATAATAAATATATAAGTACAGTGTCAGTACAAACCTTGCAAAATAAATAAATTTAAAAACCAACTCAATCTACTGTTGCTTTTTAAAAAAATGGTTAAGTTTTCTTGTTAAAATGTCACAACTCAGTAGATATTAAATTACACATCATTCTAAATTAATTTTGTGAAAACCAAAAGTGGAATAATTTGTGAATATATAGTCAATAAACTTCAAGGAAAAGAAAACATTCTACACGTAAAAAGAAATCCTAAGGAAGAGTACATTATGGTACACAATATGGAAACTAAATTGAATTCCTCTTCAATGAATCTTGTAGGACGTATTTACATTTGCAATGCCCAAAAGCTTCCAATTCTCAGCTGCAAAGTATATGACCAAACTAGCTTGCTCCCAGTTTTGCCAGTTAGGTCAGCAAACCATGGCCCTTGGGCCACATCCAGCCTGCCACCTGTTTTTGTATGGCTCTTGAATTAAAAATAATTTTTACATTTTTATGTGATTGAGAAAAAAAGGGAACATTTGTGACATGAAAGTTATATGAAATTCCAATTTCAGTGTCTGTGAATAGTTGCACTGGAACCCAGCCATTCTCTTTCATGTATGTATAGTCTATGGCTGATTTTGCACTATGACAGCTGAGCTAAGCAGTTACAACAGAGGCCATATGGCCCATAAAGCTTAAAAATATTTACTATCTGGCCCTTTAAAGACAAAGTTTGCTGACCCCTGTTTCTAGATCAATTTTTGCAAGCTTAATATATATAATGGTCTGTCTGGAAAAAGTCCAGCCATTGTTAATGAGAACTGTTTGTGCAACATTGATATAAGTTGGCAGCCAAGAAGAATCGCCTGGAATGCGCATGTGTGAACAATGACAACTTCGTTGTGCTAGTCAGTGGGCAGGGTAGTTGCCATTGAGTGAGCATGTATACTGTGTGGTTGTCGTATTCAAAATGACTGAGCGAGTAGAACAACGAATCTGCATCAAATTTTGCATTAAGCCTGAACATTCCTCCATGGAAACTATTCAGATGGTTCAGCAATGGGCAACTGGTGATGGGCAGCTTCATCAGGACAACACATCTGCTCACACATCAAGTCTCCTGCAGAGATTTTAGGTGAAACATCAAATCACCCAGGTGACTCAGCCCCACTACAGCCCAGATTTGGCGCTCTGTGACTTCTGGCTTTTCCTAGAACTAAAATCACCTTTGAAAGGAAAGAAATTTGAGACTGTTGATGAGA